CGCCACCGATGGTGGAAACAGAAGTGTGAGCGCTAACTAAACTAGCATCAGCAGCCAAGTACTGCCCGTGTGTTCTGGACACTTCCACCCCGTCGGAGCGCTCCGACGTGCACAAAAGCACACTGGTCAGTTAGGTGTTAAATCCAGCGATGTGTAGTGTTCTAACAATACACTAGTTATTGTAACAACTATGAACAATAATTAACAACTAATGAGCCTTCCAGCATCAAGCCCTCCTTGTATCTGGACCTCCATCTTGACAATCCAACAGCCTTGCTATCCGACATAGAAGAAGGTTTTACATTTAGTGTCGGACTATCGAGTCACGACTGTAAATCAAATAGCTGCAACGTAAAAGTGGATTCAGTTGAGGTTGTTTCTCATCTTCTCAAAGTGCAAATTGCTCCCTGAACATAATGGCCGTTTTCTGAACGGACAAAAGCAAATACTTTGTGCATGCTATCGGTTGGATGTCCTCGCTCTGGTCAGACGACATGTGTAGCTGCTGTTTGTTCTGCTGCTTGTTTTTCTTCATCAGTAACTTCCTCCACAGAGTTTATACAGTACAGTAGGAGCTGTTCCTTCGTAGCTAAACCAACGTGTCGAGAACAAACCGATGTGTTGGAACAAGTGAAGCCTGAGCGCGCCTACTGCCAGCGTCATTCAGAGCAACAATCACGCCCTCTAGCCATGTTTAATTGCTTCTAAAACAGCGGTCACATTTTAACTCCTTCTGCTGATGCGACGATCAGAAATGTGGAATTTAATCGGCGAGAATGTCAGTTTGCTCGTTAAACATCCTCTTCAAACAATGACTTTCTTCTTATCCTGCACCTTATTTTCTTTCCACACATCTCTGAATGAATTCAGGAGTGATGTTAGCTCAACAGGCCTGAATGGAGCTTTGCCAAAGGAAAGATTAAACATTGCATAACTTGCGATTACACTTAAAGAGATTTATTGTTCCACATCCCTGAGTTGATAAGTGTTACGTCCAGTCGTGATGGCACATGTAGATCATTTGTTTAGAAGGATTTGTGGCAGGAGGAGAAGAAGTGAACAAACTTCTCTTTCTGCTGACATGGAACCAAACGCTTAGAGGAGAAGTCCTTGATTGTAGTTGTGGGAGATCAGTTGTTTATGGATTTAACGATGTGGATTTCAGAGTGAAGACGGGATGAATCTGTAAATACGAGCCATTTTGACAGCATCTTTAACCCTTTACAACCCGACGGCTCCGGGAGCAGCTCGTCTCTGTTTATTAAAACACGACCTGAACAGGTAGCCGAGCTTCGTGCAGTGATTTGAACCATTTTGGGAACTGCAGATTATTATTGTGACTAAGGAAAAAGACAAGACAACATGTGTAGCTGCTACTTTCACTGTAAAAATTAACAACTTTTCACTGTAATTTTTCAAACAATTTACCGTTATTTTACAGAATTACTAAATTAAACATAAATCAATCAAAATAAACTAATAATTTACATGTTAACTGTAAAAAAAGGTCAAAACTGTTAATATTGTCAATATCAAAAATCTGTATTATTTATGGATGTGATTTGTTCTTTTACTTGTTTTACTTTTAAATAAACTATTTGACTGTATTTAAATTTGCTAAAAATCTAATTATTTTACAGATATTTACCATTATTTGACAAAAATACATATATTGCGGACTGAAACATTTTTAAAACTGTTTTACAGATTTAAATTAAATCAAATTACTTCTAAAAATCGGGTAAAATCACAGAAAAACGTTTCACATGGTTACTATAATAAATACTAAACTGTAAATAATGATTTGATGAATAATAATTTGCTTTTTCACAACATGTGACCATAAAATTACACTTTTGCTGGATTTAATCTCATTATACTTTATGAATATTTGCTGTTATTTTCACCATTTTTTTTTTAAACAGTCTTTGAATTTACCAGCATTCCATAATTTTTGGCATCTTTCTGGCCCCCTGCTGACACATTTTAACCAGTTTTTCATCTCTTTTTGTTTACAGAATAACAATAGTACGATTAAATGGATGCAGCATTGTTGTTCTTCATTTCTTTTGCATGTAATCTGCAGCTGAGACTCTTTCAAACACGTTCAGCAGCATCAGCGTGTCCTGACTCATTCATGTTGGCCTGTTTTCCCCTCTGTAATCTAGTATTTTGATTAGGCAGAAGTGCAAATTATAACTCTTGCTTGAGTTTGTCACTCTGGGAGACTTAGACTTGCTGTCTTTAAAAATTCTTCCCGGTGTCTCTTCAGGTTCAAGGTTGTCTATTTGGGCCCACCGATCCTTTTGGGGTATTTTTTTAAAGCATAAATTTAAAAATAAAACTTAGGGGGTTAAGGTGGTGACAGTGAACCATGATTGTGGGTCATTGTGTTGTTTTTTCACTGAATCCTGTGATCACACAGCAAGCACGAGCTTTGACCCTCTTTTGCATCCAAACCTCACAGCAGCAAACATTTCCATTTAGGGGTTAACTTCAGCTAACTGTCATGGCGTGAGAAAACGCGAGAGCCGTCCGGGCGAAAGCTGTCATTAAAATAGTTCAGCTGGATTGTATTGCGTTTTGTGTCAGCAGCGTACTTACACGGCTGTGCGACACAGATCCACTCTGAGCCTTTTGTGTGCGATACAAACATTG